ACCTGGTTTTGAAAAACCCAATCAATATGTGCTCCAAATGGGACAAAATGGAGAGAATTTAATTAGAAAATTGGCTTCATTTGAATTTTGTTCCAATATAACATAAACATAGTCCTTAGAGGAACCCTACAACTTATGTTCAAAAGAGAAAGTAAAACTCTTAACTCTAATGTTCAAATCTTCGTTGTTTCCTTACCTTCACAAATTCTCAGCAAATTTCTACTTAACCTTTCATGTAGAAGTTGAAATTATTTAGCATGAATTATGTATCTGATTCTGTTTTTCAACATCCACATTGTTGCGTTCTTTCTTCTGATCTTAGATAAATAGAAGAGTCACTTTCATGTTGAAATAATAATACCTTTCCATCTGAATTCTTAACTCTGTTTCTTGTTGCTTCTCCATAGCTTCAACCAACTTTTCCCTGCCTTCTGTCTTCTTCCTTGCTTCTCCATCTGCTTCTTCGCTATATCCCATGTGTGTGCCCAATTCTCTTGTTTATATTTCTCGTTAATGTATCTTCATTTGCAGTGGCTGCTTTCGCCCATATTTTATATTCAAACTACTGGGCATGTGCCACTCTCCAACTTTCAAAGTATTTCCTGATTGATCGGAGGCCATATTTTCTCCTGTATTGTCCTTATCAACAATTTCATGTTATCAGCTTTTGCTAAGGTCAACAGACCTCTTAACAACCAAATATCATTGGTCACTTCAGGCTTTCTATAGAGAATTCCTCTGGCTTTTTGACTATAATTACTTCCTCTTTGAAATTTTCTTCTGTAACATCACTTCCTTTTGGGTCTTCTTCCTCTTCTCTCTCACCATGATGGCTTCCTAAGGAATCTTATATCCTTACCTGATGTCAGTTGCTCTCTATACCTCAGACTTCCAAATCTTTATCTCTATTCTTGAGCTCCATATCAGAACTATCAAACTGCTTAACATCTTCAACTGTATATTCTACATCAAGTAAAGAAGCAAACTGAATTTGTTATGCCTCTTGTGATGCAACTAGTTGCTTCTAAATCCAAGACATAATCAAAGACTCCTTCATATCATATAAGCTAGAAACCTTAGTGTTATACTCCATAAATCTTCTCCAGAGTGTAAGTCCAAAAACATAGTTGTCTCTGATACCTAAATAATTCTCTTCATCTCCTTGTGTTCGTTTGTGTTGATGCTGCCTTAATTCCAACTGTCTTCATCCCTCCCTTGAATTATTTCAGTACCTTTCCTTTGGTCTCTTGGCTGTTTTCACTGTGCATTAGGCTGCTACCCAACAGCTTGCCCATCGTTATGTTGTAGGAGTGAGTAAGCCGAGATTAGATCACAGCCCTCATCTTGTGTACTTCAGTGATGCACATTCCACTTTGTGTGGAATTCAGTGCCTGCTCCAGGTATGTCATATGGGGAAGAACTACCTAAATATAATCCCTGCCTGCCCCTTTGTTCCTCTAGTGCTTCTCTCCGTGGAGGAATGAACTGCTATGCAGAGACATTAAAGAAGAGTTTGGAATAGGCAAAACGAGGGACAGATTTGCCTGTCTCTGTAAACTAACAAACTCTTTAGGAAACCAAGGATTCCTTTCAGTTGGATCCAGATTGTTCCTTAGGTTTGGGAAGACTATATCCGGAAAATGTTTTTCTTTACAATCTGTTTAGACCCTTAAGGAAAATATTTCTTTTCTTTTTCTTTCTTTTTTTTTTTTCTTTATGTTTAGTACAGGGTCTACAGTATCTCACTACACAGACTGGATTCGTAATTATCCTTCTGTTGTCAGCCTCCCAAGTGCTGGGATGATAGTCGCATGCCACCACGCCCCATCTCAGTCGCCATCTCAGCACACTCCTGAAGCAGGGCGAGCACGGCACACTGGGGATCAAACCCCAGTCCCTGCATCTGCCTAAGCCGGCACTTTAATCTGCTGAGCTATCTGGCTGGCCCTGGAAAATATTTCTTGAAATATCTGATAGTTTGTACTGCAGGAATATGCTAGTATAGGTGACATTCCATTTAATCTGATTAAAAATTTAAAGATGTAAGTCATGTAGTTTTGCAAATATTTGACAGTGAATGTGAATATTTAGCTCCATACATATAATAGAAAATAAATAACTTTTCTTTTTAAATAAGTATATTTCATAACAAATATAGATACCTCGAAGACAGTGGGGTAATGTGACAAAAGTTTGTCGTATTTATTTTTTAGTGACATTGTATATGAAATGCTGTTAAACTAGCTGATAGGACTTTTCTGGGTAGCAATTTCCTCATTCTACTCTAAGGAAAATGGTCCTTAGAGTGTAACGAATGTTTTTGGCCCTCAAGGGAAGAGAAGTTTGGCGTGATCTTTAACTTGAGGCAGATTCTTTAACCTTAAATGGTGTGTCTTTCCTTTAAAAAGATGCATAGAGTGGGAAAACTATACTTTGGAAAGGGATAAAACTTGCCATTCTCCTTTCCAAGGATCAGGAGTAAACTCAGGACTATTTTAAGAACACAATTGTCTCTTAGTACCTGAGAAGGGAGGGTGTTGGGTGGGTTGGTTCTAAGACCCCCACAGAGAAGCTTAAATCCTTCTTTAAAACAAATAGTATTTGCATGTAAAGCCTATGTGTCCTTCGTACACTTTAAATCATCTCTGGAGTACCAGTGATTCACAATACCATGTTAATATTATGCAAATGTTTGTTATACTATTTTATGTCAGGAATAACAACAAAAAGCCAGTACATGTTCAATATTTACATAATTTTCTAATAAATATTCTCAACTTATCACTGATTGAATCCTCAGATGTGGAAACCATAGATATGGGGAGCTGACTTTATTCCTGTTAAAAGATAATTAAAGGAATCAATATGGTAGCACAATGATTTTAAAATGGTGTGTCTTAGTGTTTTATTTCATTTTGTGTCGCCTATTTATCCTTCCTATCTTGTGATGGGAAGCTTTCTGAGGGCAGATGATGGGGTGTCTGCCCCCACACCCCATCCCTGCTACCTGAACATAGGCCAACAGGCAGGAATTACTCTGCATTATGAATTGCAACTGAATTTTATTCTAGAATGACACTAGAATAATGCATAATGACTCAAAATCCTACAGACAAAAAAGAACTAAAAATATGTTTGGTGACTCAGTAACTAAATTTTCTAGATGAGGTATTTGTGGAATTCAGGTTTTACCAATTCTGATTGTCACTCTTAGCATCTCACTGACTAATATTCACCCCAATAGTTTGAACATTCTTAAACTTATCCACCAAACTAAAAAATGACTGTTTATGTTTTCAGCAGAGTATATTATTAAAATTTTCTCTTTTCTATTTTAGGAAAGAGAAAAAATATCTTGATTGTTGTTGGAAAGACGTCACCGTTGGGGACTTCATCCGCCTCTCCTGTAATGAGATCATCCCTGCAGACATGGTATTGCTCTTTTCCACTGATCCTGATGGGATCTGCCACATCGAGACTTCTGGTCTTGATGGAGAAAGCAATTTAAAGCAGAGGCAGGTGGTGCGGGGCTACGCAGAGCAGGTAAGTGCTGTGCTCTCACCTGGTGATTTAGTAACTTGTACTTCCCAGAAAAATGACTCAGCTCTTTTCCACAAGACAACTAGAGATTTTCAAATTCATCATCACTATTGACAAAAGAGGATCCCTGAATATTTAGTCCACTATTTAGATAACATTGCTGTGTATTATACTTTTTAGATAATAAGATAGTATGACTTTGAAGTTCAAACACTTGACTCTGACAGTCATATTGGTAGCAACAGATTTACATGAACCCAACCAGAGTTAACCTGAAATTGGGGAAATTATTTTTGAATAGAAATATTCACCTACTAATTCTTTATATTAATCTTGGATTTCAAAGATCATATTATGTTGATCGTTGTTCCTAAAATCTGTACTACTTATATACCAAATCATTTCAAAACTTCTGTAGGTTGCCAGGCCACATTATTTCAGGACCTGTGGCTCCACTGTGCTGTGGGAAGCAGAACTCTGAAGGCAAGAGCTCAGACTCCTTAGAGTCTGAGTGAATCTCATTTCTCCCAATAATTACTATGTGACTTCAGGCAACTCAAGCACTTTACACTTTCATTTTATCTTAAAACTTAAATCTCTTTCATAGAGCTGTTTTGTGGCTTATATAAGCACATCATACATAGTATACAAAGGTTAGTTTCCCTTCTCTTTTTCTAGAAGCACTTTAGTAAAAGTATTTAAAAATAGAATGGTCTTTTTTACCATGACTACTATTAAGTTGTGATTTCTTTCTTTCTTTTTTTTTTTGGCGGTACTGGGGATTGAACTCGGGACCTTGCATCTGCCAATCAGATGCTTCTGCCACTGAGCTATCTCCCTGGCCCAAATTGTGATTTCTTTAACATATACTGGTAAATAAAAAACTTTGTACCTCTTTTTTTTTTTTTCTTCAGAACCAGGGATTGAACTCAGACCCTTGTGCTTGCCAGAGAAGCACTTATTCTACTGAGCCATCTCCCCGGCCCCCCTTTACGCCTCTTAATACCACTATCTTTGGGCCAGGCAGATAGTTCAGTGGAATAAGTACTTCCCTGGCAAGTGCAAGGTTCTGAATTAAATCCCCAGTACCGCAAAACAAAATAAAGCAATAATACAGCTATCTTTAATTGATTCCATTTGACCACTTTGGCCCATCTTTCTACCCAGTGATTACATTGCTGCCCTCTGTGCTTGATGCACTCCTGAGCTGTGCATCACTGTAGCTCTAACTAGCCGTCCTGTACCTCAGACAATAGCAGAAAGTTTTGCCTGAGTCAAAAATTTTTCATGCCACTATGTGCCTACCTTGAGGGTGATAACAGTTGATTGAACAAAAGCACACTTAAGGATGAAAACTCTAGAATTTCATGATCTGAATTGTAGTTGTGATCTATACACCTTCCTTTGAGAGTCTTAGAAAATTCTTATGTCTGTCTGTCCTCACCTGTTATTTAGGTGAATTATAGTACCTACCTCATGCACTTGTCCAAAAGAAATTAGTACATCAATTTAAAATATACTACATAGATTCTAACGTATTAAAAGACTCACTTTTTAATTATTAGCAAAGTAAATCATGTAACTCTTATTTTTCATGTTTATTATGGTATGCGTATTGCTACTTTATGAGCTAAAATTGATATTAATAGTAAAAAGCCATGCAAAAATAGAACAAGTGCAAAAAGTTGATGTAGTTTGTTCTTAATACATCCACACCTTATAAAAGTAATTTGCTTTAGCCTCCACTGGTTTCGTAAGACATTCTAAAATTACTTGCTTAGCTTCCAGCTACCCTGCACCGGCGGGACCAGTCTGGTCCAAGCACAGGCACAGTGTGGGTGAGACCCTCTTCTGCCCCCTTGGGACCCCCCACACCACTCCACAGTTCCCCCCACTCCTGCCAAGTGAGTGAGAACTTCTGCCGCATTCTCGGGACCCCCAGATCCAGCCCTAGTCCAGACCCAGAGAGTGTGTGGGAGAGTTTCCTCTCCCCTTTATACCACCTTATTCCCTTCAGAATCAGCTCAGGCCTGGCATACAGGCCTAGGGTGAAACTCTGCAGCTTCAGTCACTGCAGAGAGAGTAGGGGAGAGAACCACTCAGCTAGTCCAGGAGCAGAACATCTTTCCAAAGGGGTACACCAGTTTCACTCCCAAGAGCAGCAGGAGGAAGAAGCTGAGCAAAGCAGCCAGACCCAGCACAGCTGGATAAATTCAAACTTTGTAGATCGATCTGCACCTGAATGTCAGTAGATGCAATTCCTGGAGAATCTGAAAACATCATATCATAGTGATATATGTGTGCCCGTGTTTATAGCAGCACAATTTGTGATAGCCAAGTCGTGGAAACACCAAGATGCCCATCACCTGAGGAATGGATGAAAAAGATGTGGTATTTTTATACAATGAAGTATTACTCAGCTATAAAGAATTATAAACTCGAAGCCTTTATATTGAAGTGGATGCCACTTGAACATATACTCATAAGTGAAATAAACCAGACACTCATGTGTAAATATCATATAGTTTCCCTAGTATACGAACTCAAATGAAGAAGTACAAATAGAAAGGTATAATACAATTAAAAGGAAAGCAAGAATTTGAGGACTAGACAATGAAAAGAGTTCAAGCAGAAGAGCTAGGAAACATGCCAGAGGCAAGCCATACAGTTATATGTACAAGATGGGTAAGGCAATGATCCTGAGAATCTTCAGAAGATTTTCGAATCTAGCAATTAATTGGTAGGATTCTCACCCTGACTAACTATATATACTGACACCTGTGAACTAAGCAGCTGCACTGAAGATGGCAATTTATAATAGCAGGTTCATGCTTGGAGTGTATGTCATTCTTGTCTTCTGAATATGTGCTGCTTGTCATGACATACCAGTCGCTGCCACGCTGTCTCTCAGGTAGATGATTGCTTAAAAAGGGGTGGTGAACGAAGGCAGGAGACAGGAAAAGGAGTGTTGCGGGACTGTCCTGCAACAATGTTGTATATGGTTAGATTTCTGGACTTATGTGTAAACATATATAATTCTTTATTCCTATTTTTAAATATATTTTAATTTTTTTGTTTTATTCTGTAGGGACGTAAAGTTTAACATATCAATATTTGATGAAAAATACCTGTTCCATGTTATGCCTAAGATGTTTGACATTCAGACAGATAGTGAGGTTAAGCTCAACAGTCTAGGTTATATGGCAATAACAATAAACTTCTCTTCTGGAGGGTTAACTATGTCAGTTTGCATAACAAAAGTTAGAGGAAAAAGGAGTGCTGTGAGAAAAGCCACCATTTTGACCCTAGCCTTCCAAGGTCAAGACTCAGTACATATGAGAACTTGTACTGTAACGTCACATAACTCAGTAGTGTCCCAGATTTTCTGATCAAGGAGATTATGGGGCCAAAGAGGAAAGTGATCAATGATGTAGAGTGTGCCTAAGGAGAGTCACATGGAGAGAAAACATTCTCTCAGGCTTTCACAGAGAGCATATTGGCCAAGCAATGGCCGTGAATCATCCACATGGCTGACACTGACAAAGGATCTACAATCTGAGGTACAGAATCTCAGGATAAATCCTGAGGGAATTTGACTGACCTTATCAGATCCAAAAGCTACAGTTCTTGTTACATAGGTCTGGCTTTATCTTGGTCTTCCCCCAAAAAAAGTATAAAAATAAAGTACAAGAAATAAAGCCATGTTGTTATGTCGAGCTGTAGGAGACTCAGGTCAACAGCTTCTGACATTGCCCGTCAAGTGGAAGACCCAATACTATTGTAGACTACTGGACTAATTTGGAATATTTTGCTGAGTTCTCACATCTATAATATTTAAATGATGGAACTAAACAAAAAAAGGGGATATAGATGAATGTCCATTTTGTATCTGTGTATTCAAAATGGTTGGGATAAATATATAGCTATATTCTCTTTATTCAAGGAATAGAGGGATTTGTTCTAATAGTGTTTGTAAATAGGGTATCATTTCTGCATCTTGTACAACAAACCACTAGGAAGGTGGTATGTAATGTGTTAATTATTTGAACTGACCTACCAATTTGATTTGAAACTGTCTCTTTGCTATTTATTTCTCAATAAAATTATGGAAAAAATAAAAATAAAATAAAATTACTTGCTTGACCCATTGGAGAGTTATGGGAGATAGTGAAGTCCTGCTTATTTTTTAATTTTTATTTGTAAAATTTTGCTGAGTAGAATGCATGTGCTCTTAAAGATATTTACATATCCTCTCTTTCTTTATGTATTTGGTACAGGGTCTCACTATGCAGCTCTGACTCGTAGTGATCCTCCTGTTTTAAGCCTCCCCAGTACTGGGATTACAGCATGTGCCACAACGCTTGAAATCAGTGGCTGGCTCAGCATACCAATTGCAGGGCCAGCAGTGGGGCTGGGGATCAAATCTCAGCCCCTGCACTTGCCTAAACAGGCGCTTAGTCCACTGAGCTGTCTCACTGGCCCTTATACATTCTTTCAATCATAGGACTATCTGTAGTTAAAGACTAACACAAGAAGTACTTTCAGAGCTTTATTGATGAAAAATTATTTATGAGTAGAAGCCTTCTTTTTTGGATTCTTGAATGGACTCTAACATCTGATTCCTGTCACTTGCAGGCATTCATTAGAGCTCTGGGTTACTCATCCCAATTAGGACCTCATAGTTAGGCCTATATTTGATTTTATTATGGCAACCTATGGCATAAGTCTTATTGATCAAAAAAACCTTAATGTCATCCCAAGAATTAGTAAAAGTAATAAAATAGTTATATATTATGGGCTTTATCTTAATTTCTTTTTTGTGATTCCTTAAAAAATATTTTTAGGACTCTGAAGTGGATCCTGAGAAGTTCTACAGTAGGATAGAATGTGAAAGTCCAAACAATGACCTCAGCAGATTCCGAGGCTTCCTGTGAGTGATACCTGACCTATCTGTGGGGTCGTGAATGGATTTGTCCTTAACTCAAACTTTTGTGTGCTTATTCTCAAGTTAGATTAGTAGAGGCCATAAGTTTAGCCTAAGTTAAATTGGTTTCTCTTAATCATTTGATATTTACCTCTCCATTTGTATTTAGAGCAATACCAACAATAAAACCTTTCTGTTATTATAATTGTGGAATCTCTTACAGTGCTACAACAATATCTTATACATTGTCCTTACTAAGCCCAGGACATGTTAATGCTTATCAGGAGGTGGTTGGTAGAACCAATAAATTATATGCTAGGGTATGGTCCTCCTTCAGGTTTAGGATAGCAGGTATACAATTCTGGTTGGTAAAAATTAGCCAGTGATTTGAAAACATATCTAAGAAATATTATGGGAAGTCATGACAGTATTCATTCTGGAGGCTTCCTGTGATATTCACACTCTTTTTAAAAGTCAGCTAAAATTTGGGGTTTTACCTAGCTAACTTTCAGCGTGGCTTCTTCCATTTCAGGGCCTCATGACTCTGAGCCAAAGTATTTACTTTCTTTGATGCTTAGTTTCCTGGCTTTTACAAAGAGACAATTAGAACTACTTCACAGTAGCAAGTCATAGGAAGAGAAAACTTCCCAATTCATTTTACATTAGTACATACTTGCTGTTCATGATACTTACATTCTTCTTAGGGGGCAGGCACAGGTGGTTAGCATAACTTGATCCTTTTTATCGATCTTCTCCTCCAGATCCTCCTCCCTCCCTTTGACACTGGATCCCTTCCCCCCATGTTCATTCTGTTTTTTCTTTGGGTCGTGTTTGCAGTATCTAAGGATTACATTGTGGCAGTTGGCACACACATATTATACATTTTAAATCTTTTTACACCCCTCCCCCATGTGGGGAGTCTTGCTCCTCTTTTTATTTCCATAAACTTTATCTCCTTGATTCCTGCTATCAATCTTTTATTTTGCTCTTTACTTTGATTGTACTTTGGCTTACTCAAATGAAAGAAAACATGGTATTTAAGCTCGAGTGTCTGATTTATTTAACTTAGCACTGTTTCAAACTGTGTTTTCCTGCAAATCTCTCAAATTTATTCTTCTTTATAGACAAGTAGTACTCCATTATGTGTAAATAGCACATTTTCCTTGTCCATTTATTGATGGATATGCAGGCCACTTCCAAGATATAGCTAGTATGGATTATAGTGCTTTGAACTTTAGTGTACACATATCAGTGTAATACGATATCTTTCACTCTTTAGAAAAATACCTAGATGGTGCATAGCTGGGTCAAGTGCAATTCCTATTTTTAGTTTTTTGAGAAGTCTCCACACTGATTTCCATAACTGCTATACCACACTGCCTATCCCCCAACACCAAAGAAGGGCTTCTCATTCACTTTAGCCAGGCCAGCATTTCCTGTCATGTATCTTGAAAACTGCTATTCTTTCTCCTTTATTGAGACTGGGAATACCCTGATCTCATTATCCCAATAGTACAAGCATACAAAAACAGTAGTATTCATGACAAACTAAATGCAAACATTCTACACAAAATTATAGGAAATCAAATCCCACATTATAAAAAGAATAAAAGATCATGACCTAGACTTGTCATAAAAGTATATGGTTGGTGTAACATTTAGCATCAAGTGGAGTAACTCACTATATTAACACTGCATTATAATCTATGCTAAACAAATGAAAAAAGAAAAACAAAATAATCATCTCACAGATGTAGAGAAAGCCTTTGACCAAGTCCAATTTCCGTTTCTGCAAACAAGAAACAGAAGGGAGCTTGTTTGACTTCATGAAAGGACTCTATAAAAAGCCTTACAGCCAGCATTATGCGTTGGTGAAAGAGACTAGGGCTCGGTCCCTAAGATCAGGAATGAAGTATGGGTATTTCCTATCACTGCTTGCACTAGAGGTCATCCTGAGCTTTTAGCTAACACATTCAGCCAGGAAAAGGAAATAGAAGGCAGGCAAGCAGGTGGGCAGGCAGGCAGAGGGATGGATGGACGGATGGATGGACAGACAAAGACAAAAAAAAAGAAAACTGATTTTGAAAATATGCAAAAGCAATTTAGTGGAGAAAGATGTGATACTAGAACAGTTAGATAGCTAATTGTTTTTAAAACATTAACTTCGATGTATGGAAAGCTTTTTTTCAGTCAAACATTAATTTAAATATGTATCTTAAATTTAAATGTAAATTAAAATGATGAAACTATTAGAAAAAGTATGCAGAGGACCAGCCAAATAGCTCAGGGATTAAAGCGCCTGCAAGCAGGCTCAAGGGCCAGGAGTTCAATCCCTGGGCCTGCTGTGCCAGCCCCACCCCCAGGGCGCACTGAGACAACAATTGACACTGGGCGTGGTGGTGCGTACCTGTAATCCCAGCTTTTGGGAGGCTGTAAAGAGGGGGATCACTATGAGTCTGATCTAGTAGTGAGACCATGAACACCTCTGTAGACCCTTCCCTAAAATACAAAAAATATGTAAGTATAAAGAAAAGTAAAAATTAAAGTCACATCTTTACAAATTTCAGGTAGAAACACTATGCAGAAAATCTTTGTTACTTTATGCCATAAAAAGATTCCTTGTGTACGAAACTCAAAGCACCATAAAGTACAAAAATAAACACATAAAAGAAATCAAAATAAAAACTTTCTGCTAAACAGACAATACTGTTAAGAGAGTGGAAAGATGAATCACAAGATGAAAAGAAATGTTTGTGATGCATGTATTTGACACCAGACTTATATTTAGAATACGTCAACACCCTGCTGGCTTTCTGGCTGCACAGACTTGCCTCTGGGCTCCTGGACATGCGGTCACCCTTTGGTAGTCACAGGCCACAGGAACCACTGGTGTTAGTCCACTTCGCAGTCAGCTGTGCTGCTTTCTGTTTCTGTTAGAGTCACCTTCATGCTGCGGTCCTCCGATGCCGCCTTCCCCATATTCAGACTGGCCTGACTCTCTTGGTGTCTGTTCTAGTAGTAGGCCTCAACAATGCTAGAGAAACATTTGATGAGAGATCCACCCTCTGTAGATAGAGATTTCTCTGAGAAATTATTTTCATCCACCAAAATAGCTTGTTTCTTTTCCTGTTTTGTGGTTTGTTTTTGAAATCAACAAAAATCGAGATGCTTTAAGCCTATTGTGTATGTCACACTTTTTCTGATCTTATTCTTGGATAAACTTGTATCTTCCCCTAAATCTATATGCTCATTATTAGCTATCTATCATGATAGCTGTCTCATCTTTATTACTCTTACATATTTCTTTATCAAACAACCCCTTTTAGGCCAGCAAGATAGCTCAACTAACTAAGCACATACTTATGCAAGCATAGGAACCAGGGATCGATCCCTGGCACTGCCTGTCATGCCAACCCTGACTCCAGGCACACTGTGCTGACCACCAAGACCTGGTGTGGTGGTGCATGCCTGTAATCCCAGCTCTGGGGAGGCTGAAAGCAGGAGGATTACCATGAATCCAAACTGTGTAGTGAGACCCTGTACCAAATACATTTAAAAAAGGATATAGAAAACCTTTTAGACAATAAGAATTGAGTGTGTGTATGTTTGCCACACACATAAAATAGGTCTTACATGACTTCTTGAATGAAAAGAGCACATGACAGCAGAAGATGTCAGAAGCTGGCGCACCATTGTCATATCTAAGGGAAATACAGCCATTTCTTACTCTCATACCAAGACTTTGTTCAAATTTCCACAATTGTCTCAAAAAAGTTTTAGTGCTTGTTTTATTCAAATAAACAGGATCAAAACCAAGTCTGCAAATTACTTCTGACTAATAATTTCTTAAATTTCCTCTCCCAAGAAACTAGCTCCTTAGCTTATAAAATGTACTGTCTTCTGCATGAGCTTATTGCCTCATCCTTCTGCTGAGTGCCCCCCTTCCCACCCCATACCATTCATTTCTTGAGTAAAACACACAGTTTTGCTCACAGAATTTACTCTATTTTCAATTTGACTGAATGTATCCTGCACTGATGTTTCTCTGAACTCTGATTTTCTATCACTTGTCAAAGGTTGCTTTCAGAATCCACTGACAGAAATGAATTTGCTTCCTGGAAAATAATGAACATAGAAAAATGTGTAAATGCATACATCCACAGGGCACTGTTTATAGCAGTAAAGGTTTCATCTCTGATGCCTTGGTAAAGGCTTGTGGGGCCACGGCCTATTTCGATATATCAGGAAGCTGTGAATTCCCTTGTCCCACCACCAGACTGGTGGTGTTAGCTTTGCTCTTACGTTATAAAGGCCCTACCAGCTTTTCACCTCACTAGTCAGTACCTTGATTTCAGTCAAGTTGAAAATGATAATTTTCTAACTCTATTAATAAATTTTCCCTCATCAACTATCAGTGATGTACTAGAAATGCTGTGTATGCTAGAAAGGTAGATCCTTATTCAGAATATTTGAGTTTTTATAGTAATAGAAATAGACAAGCAATTGGAAAGCAATGGGAGTTAGAAACTTGTGGTAGCTTTCTCTTATCCAAAGCAAGTAACTGAAACCACAGAAGCAGATAAACCAGATTTGAAATTTTTCCTGTGTACATCCTGACTTGTTCCTCTGAGCCAGAAGCACGGAAGGAGCAAGATTTTCATGTTTATACCCTTACTTTTCCACTTTAGAATAAATCTCCATGCTGTCTTTCTTACAGAGAACATTCCAACAAACAACGTGTGGGTCTCAACAAAGAAAATTTACTGCTCAGAGGATGCACTATCAGAAATACAGAGGCTGTCGTAGGCATTGTGGTTTATGCAGGTTGGTTATTCTCCCAATTTTCAACACTGCCTCCTCTGTGCTTTTTGCAAAGTACAGTTATTTTATTTATTCAAACTGAAATCTCTGGAAGCAGAAAGTGCATTCGCCTTCATAGGCTTAGTTGGTGGTCTCTTTCTTAATGGATCACAAAAGAAGACTACAGTATTGACAAAATATAGAACTGTCTTACCCAGTTGTCTGCCTGAGTCATTTTTTAAAATTATGTTTACTGCTGAGTTGTAATGTGTTCATTTTCTGATGCTGTCTGTCTCCTATGTAGGCCATGAAACCAAAGCAATGCTGAACAATCCTGGGCCACGCTATAAACGTAGTAAATTAGAAAGAAGAGCAAATACAGATGTACTCTGGTGTGTTCTCCTTCTGCTTATAATGTGTCTAATTGGTGCATTGGGTAGGTAAATTTGATTATTTGCTAGCCACGTGGCAGTGAAATATTACTTATTTCCAAAGCAGTATTTAAGAATGTTTGCTTCTAGAAAGGATATTTCAATATTTTTTCCTCATGTCCTTATCTATGATACTTAGGCCTGAAAATCATTATTGTAGATGATATCCATTTTTACTGTGCTGTTCCCAGAAAAATCCAGGCATCAAAGGAAAATGCTACACACTGAGGAGTTCTGGAAGGCAACTTGAATGTAACTTTAGTGAGCTGATGGGAACCAGTCCAGAGTCCATTTTCAGTTCAGTTCAAATAAAGTTTGCAAGTGGGAGGTATAGAGCTGATAGCTGGTTATTACATGACTGGTTACGTGATTTACAAGAATCAAGTCCTGTGTTGTCAGGAAGATTTGTTTTAATCAGCTTTACTTAAGACAAATTGTTTCTCATTAGATAGGAACATTCTGGGAGGGAGGGGGTCTCAGCAGAGTGGGTAGAGATGAAAGTATCCTTGACTGGGCCAGTGTGTCCTGGGAATCAACTATAGAGGCCTAGAAGCAAGCAAGAACAAAACTACATATATGCATATTTAAGTTTGAAAAACTCAGTTACTACAGTGGAATGTGGTCAGGTTGACCTGGACAGCTATTTGGAAGAAGCAGCTGGATGTGAACAGTCAAGGCTAACTGTGCCTAGCAGTCCAACTATAAGACAAGAAACATGAACATACTCATAGGCTACTGAATGATTTTTATTTATACTACAAGATTTTTATAAATTTGCCATTACAGTGCCACAGTACTGAAGGATGTGTGATGACATTTAGAGAGAAAAAGAAAAAAAGGACACAAGACTTAGCATTTTGAACTTGAACATGTTTTTAAAAGCAATTGATATTCAACCAAACTGAATTCTCTCATCACTCCTGCCTGAGAAATAAAGTGCTATATTTACATATGTTCATTTCATATCTATGTATTTTTGAAAGGTCATGGAATCTGGCTGAGCAGATATGCAAATGTGCTCTTTTTTAATATTCCTAAGCCTGATGGACATGTTGTATCGCCGGCATTGGCAGGATTCTATATGTTTTGGACCATGATCATTTTGTTACAGGTAATTTCCATCCAGCTTATAGAACTTTAAGATCTTGCACATTATCTAGCTAGATAAATTAAATTCACATTCTTGAGTTTAATATTTTAAAATTGTTTGGCTCCTCAGGTCTTAATTCCCATTTCTCTCTACGTTTCCATTGAAATTGTGAAGCTTGGGCAAATATACTTTATTCAAAATGATGTGGATTTCTATAGTGAGAAGATGGACTCTACGGTACAGTGCCGAGCCCTGAACATTGCTGAGGATCTGGGTCAGATTCAGTATCTCTTTTCTGATAAGACAGGAACCCTCACTGAGAATAAGATGGTTTTTCGAAGATGCAGTGTAGCAGGATTTGATTATTGCCATGAAGAAAATGGTGAGTGTTGGGTTTGCACAAATCACTAATGTTTGTCCTGCTTGTTAACTGCTGAAATGCCTGACAGTTTTGGCTTTGAAATTCTATATTTAAACTTTGACTACTTCGCTCATCCAAATGGGCTTTCTATTATATTCTTGTTCCTTTAAAAGTCAGTCCATGATATACAACTAAGTGATATGGTGATATAAAAAAATAAACAGTAAGCATATACTAAGTGATGTAGTGAAGTAAATACTCACTGTTTTGATTATCCTTAGGATTTGGATTTTGATTAGCCTTAGGATTCGCTGTCATTAAGTATTTCTTTCATATTGTATAATGCTCCTACCATATAATTTAAAGCTTGTATCATTATGTTTTCAAATTTATAGTAATTATAACATTTTATACTGTATTTGTACCACTGTGTCCTTTGGTATTTGTGTCCTCATTGGTATCATCTGATAGATAAATATTTGTTTGATGGTGTAAAAAAAGATTGTAGGTAAAAGTCAAGTCAAGGAGTTTGCTGCTGTGATTTCTCTACGAGAAGACTGATTGTACCATGCATGTCTGTTTTGGCCAGTGATGATGAACGTCTTTACATGTGACTTTTGGCCATTTGTAACTATACAAAGTCACTATTCATTTTGATTGCTCACTTTCTGATTGAGTCTTTTATTTTGTGGGCTTAGTTTCTGCATCCTTCAGAACAAGATAGAAGAGAGATAAATATAAAGTAAAGAGGAGTTCAAATTTTTCCCAAGTCATGTATTCCATTGTTTATAAATATTTTAATATACAATGCTAATTTATTTCACTTATACTAAAAGTTTATCTTAAGTTTATTGAGAAGATAGTTTGTGTTATCTGCTTTTTTCATTTTTGGAAGAACTTTTTTTTATGTCTTGTACTTAGTAACTACTTTGAAGATAATAATATACAGTGTAATGACTATTGCTATTTTCTTATTATTTGGTTAAGAAAATATGTTTTATGGTTTCAAAAAATAACAAAAAAGAAGAGTAAATTACCATTGGTAAGAGAATGTTTGGATTGGTAAGGTGACAATGATACTGCACTATAGATACTTCAGAGGGTCTAATGAAACTATGGACCATCTCTCTGAAAATTGTTTTGAAAATAATTCTGAGGGTGCTCCAAATCATTTTGCCCCTAATAACTACTGATGCTTAGTTAAGAACTGACCTAATTCTAAGGAGGTGAATTTTTCAAATTCCAAGGTGTGTGTGTGTGTTTAAGAATTGAACTTTGTTAATTTTGCTCTTTATAAAAGTAGTATGTGAGGGATGGCAAGACAGCTCAGCAGACTAAGTGCTTGCTTCGACAAGCACAGGGACCAGGGTCTGATCCCCGGCAACAGTGCAACACCGGCCCCGCCCGCAGTGCACTGAGCCCACCACCGAGTTCAAGTGTGGTGGTGCACGCCTATAATTCCAGTGCTGGGGAGGCTGAAAACCAGAGGATCACTAGGAATCCGAGTTGTGTAATGAGACCCTATAACAAATAATTTTTTTAAAACAAGTAATCATTAGTACATTATCAAGCTCATTTAAAAGCCCTACTCTCAAAAGGTTAAACAATTTAGCAATTGGTAAATATATAACCATCCATTTTTGTGCATATTTCTTTATATATGAACATGTAGTAGATACACGCATTTCTCTGCTGTCTGTTGGAATGTATTATAGTGGTGTTTTTCAATGTATTTCTTTTACTAAGCAGTATTCATGGATTTTTCTTTTCATAACAATGTGAAGAGTGTAGTCTTCTGCTCATTATATTTGGTCAAGCTTAGTTTCCTATTCTTAGAGGTGGCCTCTTCATTTGCTGCTGCAGTTGAGTATCTCTTACCTGTAATGCTTAGCACAAGAGATGTGGATTTCAGAATCCTTTTATGCAGTTAGGAATATGCTGTATAAATAATGGGGTAACTTGGATATAGGACCTAAGTCTAAATACAAAGTTCACTCCTTTTACATGCACCTTATATGTAGAGCTTTAAAGTATACTTGTATAATATATTTAATAATTTTGTTTATGATCCAGAGATGCATAGCAGGGAATTTTCCACTTGTGGTGTCATGTCAGAGTTTTATATTTTGGTGCATCTTGTATTTTGAATTTTCAGATTAGGGATTTCAACATGTTCTATAAAAGCACATGCAGTTAATATCACTTATTCTTTCCACAGGTATTTTGTGAGCTCTAAAAATATAGCAGAAATCCCTGATACCATGTAGTTTAAAATTAAGGGCAAGGTAATAATTAAACAAGGAAGGAAGGAAAGAAGGAAAAGAGAAAGGAAAGGAGAGAGAAAAGGAAGGAAAGAAAGAGAAGAAGGAAGGAAAACAGAAAGGAAAGGAAAGAGAGAGAGGAAAGGAAGGGAGGGAGGGAGAAAAAAGAGAGAGGGACGGAAAGGGAGAGAAGGGGAGAGAGAGAGAAACAGAAAAGGAAGGAAGGAAAACAGAAAGGAAAGGAAGGAAAGAGAGAAGGAGAGGAAAGGGACGAAAAGAAGGAAGGAAGAATTCTGCAAGTGTTATACAATGTTGTCTATATTTATGAGATTATTTTACAATATTTTCCTCTAAAATATGATAACTTACATTCTCTCAACCCAGAAAAATGATGCATTTTTTGTGCCCACCCATAGTGGGATGGAATTTTACTTTTTAATCTGTGTGATTTTTGTGAACATACTTAACAGTTTTTGTCTTTAGTTTTTTTCTTAGCAATGAAAAGATTAACTTTATGTTTGTTAGCCCCTGAAGTTTCTTGGTAAATTGATCCTGCTCCTTTCCTATTTTTAAGTGAGCTTTCCCTGTTCTTAGCAACTCATGGGGAAGTTTTACCTATTGAGAGCAGAGTCGACATTCATTTCTATTCCATTATAAGCTGCTTGCTCCTGGCACCCATGTTTGTTGGCACACTTTTGACCCGTTGTTAAATAATTTGAACAAAAACTATAATGGTAGGGCTGGTGGGAAAGCTCAGCGGACTAAGCACCTGCTTAGGCAAGCGCAGGGGCCAGGGTTTGATCTCTGGCACCACATGCTGCGCCGGCCCCGCCCCCAGGCGTGCTAAGCCACATGTGTCCAGGAGTGCTGAGCTGGCACCGAGTCGGGGCATGGTGGCACGCGCCTGTAATCCCAGTGCTGGGAAGGCTGAAAACAGGAGGGTCACTAAGAGTTGAAGCTGTGTAGTGAAACCCTGCGCGTGTGTGTGCATGCTTGCACGCACACTGAGACACACACACCAAACAATAACAACAACAAAAAATTGTGATAGTGTATTAACCATTTCTTCCATATGAGACAGTTATTTACCTGGTTCATCACTTATCATAGTATTAGTTTTCTGTGACTTTATAGGAGTTCGTGGTGTAAAAGAACACAAGCCTCATCGTTTTGGCAGGTCAGGAAGGGACATCGCCTGCTCAGGCTCTCACAGGCTGAGGTCCAGCTGTGAGCTGCCACTGACCTTACCAGCGATCTCATCTTCTTACCTCCGGGCATTTGGCAGAATCTGTGGTTGTGGGACCACGTTGCCTTTTTCTTCTGGCTGCTCTCCTGGGACCACTGGTGGTGCCTTGGGCATTCCTGTCACACACCATCTCCACAGCAGTTTTCTTCTTGAGGTCTGCAGAAGGACTTCTCATTTTGGATGTGACTTTAAGGTTGTCTTGAATTCCATCATAGTTGCAAGGTATATATACCATGGGGACAGGAATCTTGGGGTCATCTGAGAATTCTGAGACACTATTCTGAGACAGTGCCTCCCATATTCTCTAAATTTTGCTTTGGGTATTCTTATCAAAATTTTATATTTTTATTGAAGCAAATATGCTTATTCTTATAGGTATGTTATTTTAAATATTA